TTGGAATGAATTTAAAAAATCATTATCGAGAAGTTGTGATGCAATTGGCGAAGATTCTACTGACGAAGATGCTATTGAGGAAGATGCTATTGGCGAAGATGTAATAGGCGAAGATGCTATTAGCGAAGATTCTATTGACAAAGATGCTATTGGCGAAGATTCTATTGACGAAGATGCTATTGGCGAAGATTCTATTATCGAAAATGCTATTAGCGAAGATGTGATAGGCGAAGATGCTATTGGCGAAGATGTGATAGGCGAAGATGCTATTGGCGAAGATTCTATTATCGAAGATGCTATTGGCGAAGATGTGATAGGAGAAGTTCTTTTCACATTTTGTGAAGATTTGATATTATTATTTTCACAAACAATTGCATCCGGAAAACAAAGATTTTCAGTGGGAATAGCATCATCACAAAGTGTCCTCACAGTTCATTTTTCGGAAATCTAAAGAACCTGAACATAGGGTTTCTTTTGTCCTGTACATTTTTGAATCCAACAGCGGCACAAGTTGATAGCATAATTATCTGCGAAAATAAACTTAATTGAACTCTTCCTTAGAGAATGTAAATATATGGTACCCATGTAGCACGTAATATTACAGTAATATTATTGTAATGTTACTGTAATATTACTTGCTTCTTGGGTAAGAGAAGAAAGCAGAAATTTTCTATCTCTGCAGAGACAGTTCCCTGGCGGATTGGTTCACGCGTATTTTGAGCGATTTCGCTTAACTTCGGTTACAGTGAAAATTTATAGATGAATTGTTATAAAAAATGATATAAAAGTGAAAAATAAAGGTAAATTAGTGTTTATATATATATGATTTATAGAAAAATTCGCGGAAAATTCATGGAACACGAGGTTGAGATTGAAATTCTGTTTAAAATGTATAAAAATTGATGAAATTGATAGTAGGTATAATTATTAAGTAAGTTTTATGCATTTTAAGATGATTATTGTTAAATAATTATAAAAATTTAATGTATTTATTAATTTCAATCTATTACAGTTTATTATCAATCTTTGTCGATAAAATCAATATAGACGCGCATTTTAGGAGGTAGGTGGCAGTACACTTTTTTTAAAAATTTTTCTGTATTTTTTTTATCAAAAGCTAAACTCTTATTTATTAAACGGAAATATTGGTGAAAAAAATTTATTATGTAATCAAAGATATTGATGAAAATTTATATTTTTTATTAAAAATATGTGTGACAAAAATTTATTTTTTATGAAAAATATTACCAATATTTCTGTTCAAAATTAATATCTGTAACCTTTTTTTGATAAAAAAATTAATTTCATTGACAAATATTTTTGATAAAAAAATTAATTTTTTCAACAATATTTTTGATCAAATAATTCGTTTATAACAATTTTTTTTATAGAAATAATTAATTCTTTCATTCCTTTAAAACTTAATTTTTTTACCAATTTTTTAATAAAAAAAATAATTTTTTTAGACATATTTTCGATAAAATAATTATTTTTTAATGAATATTTACTTTAAAAATTAATCTTTCTTTAGTCATATGTTTGAAAAAATTTTTTGATAAAAAAATTCATTTTTTTCACCAATATTTTTTATGAAAATATTAATTTTTTGATAAAATAATCCATTTTTTACCAATATTGCCGTTCAATTAATAAGAGTTTTACTTTTGATTTAAAAAAAATAAATTTCTATTGATTTTATCGACAAATGTTGATAATAAACTGTTATAGATTGAAATTAATAAATACATTAAATTTTTAGAATTTTTTAACAATAATCATCTTAAAATGCATAAAACTTATTGATTTTAATAATTATACTATCAATTTCATCATTTTTTATACATTTTAAACAGAATTTCAATCTCAACCTCGTGTTTCATGAATTTTCCGCGAATTTCGTGGAGCATTCGCATCGCATACAATTCGCCAGGGTTATCACAATTTTTCCATAAATCATATATATATATATATATAAACACTAATTTACCTTTATTTTTCACTTTTATATTATTTTTTTAACAATTTATCGATAAATTTTCACTCTAAGCGAAGTTAAGCGAAATCGCTCAAAATACGCTTGAACCAATCCGCCAGGGTTGTAATATTTTTACGTAATACACTCACCTTTAAATTATATCTTGTCTTATTTAACACAAAAAAACCAATTTCAAATTACTATTATTCACACACCACTAATAGCACGAACTATATAGAAAAGCTATAAGAATGTAACAAGGAATAATTTTTCAAAAATTAAATTTTCTTATGTGTTACAATTCACTGTACATATATTTTAAAAATATTTTTTTCCCTTCTACCTCCATCCCTGCTGCAACCAACAGGTCCCACAAGACAAGGGCCTTGCTCCCCCTCTACACCCCCTCTCCACGGACTGTCTGGCACCACTAGGCCACGCTCATAACGGCGGGCCATACGCACCCTATACTACTTATTATAAATAATTTATATAGTGTAGAGTGGGACGAGATCACGATTTGGATTTTATTTGCATATTCTACGACTTAAAAATTTGTCCTTTCAGATAAATGTTATTTATGACAGAAACGGTAAATTTTTGACAAAAATTAATAAACATTTTTTAATTATGCTATCTATTGTTTTTGGGGTGGATGATTACGAATCCGATGTTAGTTCTTTTAAATTCAAAATGGCGGATCCAATATGTCGACCAAAATATTTTTTAAATTGACTGGATTCGATTGAAACTTGTTACTCGGGGGTTCTTGGGGTCCTTGATCACGAATCCGATGTCAGTTTTTTTAAAATTAAAATTGGCGGATCCAATATGACGATGAAAAATTTTAAGACATCCGATTTTCAAAATTGCTGATACAATATGGCGGAATTAAATGTAAAAAAATTATATAAATTGAACTTTGAATTTAGAGATTTTTAGGGTTGCTAATTACGAATCTAATGTCAGATTTCACAATACCTAGAGTATCTGTCCTAATTTTATTAATTAAGTTTAAAATTTACGTTTAGGATTAATTTCCGATAAAACAATAGAAAACTTTTTATTATGGAGAAATAAACATTTATTAGTAGTTGAAAAAAAAATTTAACTATTAGGATATCCGCTGGGGGCGTGACTTAGCATTTTTGGTTTAAACTGGACGAAAATTAGACAAACATCCTATTTTCAAGGGTTAAAAAAGTTTTCAACAGAGAACGCTTCACACTAACGGACATCCCAAAACCTATTCACAATTTTAAAAATATATTTCTTTGTCAACTACGTATTTTCCAATTAAATGATTTAAAACTTTGGTAAATACTAGTTTAATATATCTTTATCAAGGACAGTGAATTATATTTTTAAAATTCCAAAAAGTACTTTTTGTCACTTTTTGGTCCTTCCTGGCCCACTGTGCACTGGTTTTCAGAGCATTTTATAAGTCTTTATTTAATTTTTAATTATTATTTATAAAAGATTTCATTTTATATAACAAATTTGTGGCCAAAAAGGCCAAACGCAATTTCGATTCAAATAAATGAGGGTTCACATGCAATAAGGGGATACGCATGAAAGTGAATGTCCCCGCGTACAGCGATTCTGCGGCTGCGCGAGGGGCTAACGAAAATACTGCGCGTCCCCTTATTGTATGTGAACCCTCAAATTGTCTGATTAAAGCGATAATCTCTGAAAACTGCAAAAGATTGTAAACAATTCATAGCATAGTCTTTAATTAATTTTTAATTGTTAATTTATAAAAGATTTCATTTTCTAAAATAAATTTAGTGTTATAAAATAGTGATAATTTGTATTTATTTTATGTTTTCCAATAATTTTTAATTAATTTTTTCATTTTTACTTCAAAAAAACAGAAGTAGTAATATCACCCCAAGTATTGGAGCGAGATCACCACTTGCAAGGGTAGCGTGGAATGGCTGTAGGTCAAAATAATGAAGAGACCGGATCTTGCGTCAAAGAAATAAAATGTAGCCAAGGAGACTATCTTTAAAACCTTTTTTGGTTTTTCTTTATCGGCTCGGGGACCGGAGATACAGTTCGAAAACTGAAAAAGTGGTGATCTCGCCCCATCCTACTCTAATATATAAAGCCCTGGTGGGACTTTCAAGTCCAATAACAAAAGCAGTGAATTTACCGTTTTTTCAATTCCAAGAATTTTCCTCCAAATCCGAAGCATAAATTAGATAAACTAAAGCCTTAAAAAAATGTAATAATAACTTTCAAACACCCTCCGCATTAGAAGATTAAAGCCGCAATTTTGAATTTTTTGATTTTGTCTTTAGGATTGTATTCAGTAAATCCAAAAACCTTAAAATACCAATTAATTTATTATTGCCTTAGACCCTTACAGCACCAGATATTTCAGGATATCCTTAGGACGTCTTGAGGATATCAGGCGGTTTGCCATTTTGAATTTTGAATAAAATGCCCCCGCATTCGTAATCAGCGGCCCCGAAAACCGCGTAATACCGATTTTCAGGTCAATTTGATGAACAAATTTTTGTTGAGCAGTATGCATGACTATTTTCAAAAAAAATTTGAGTTTATCAACGCTATTTAAAAAAATTGAAGTGGGGGAAATAAAGTCAACTCACATTTTTAAAGTATAATTATTACGAGTTGTAGAGTTTTTGGCTTTGTAAATTTTTTTTTTAAATTATTAATTTTTTAATCTAAAGTCATGAAAAAATCGTGAAATTTTGCAATTATTGTTTAAAAAATAATATAAAAAAATTTTTTACACAATTTTTGATGGCATATTTGGATAGGGCAAACTAAAATACGTAATACATTGTCTTGCCGAAAAGAATTAATAATTTTTTTGTAATATATCATTCAAAATATTCACTAAAAACTGATTTTGATTTTACATAATTAGAAGAGAACGTTTAATAAAGGTAAAACTATCACTAAACATAACCTAAAATTTGTTTGGGAGCTAAGGTCTCTTTCATCCGTAATATTTATTAAACAAACTTAATCAAATCATTTAAATTTGTTTTAGAGGAATTTAATTACACATACTTCGGAAAAAAAAATACTGAAGATAAATCAATGCCTTGGATTCTTATGCTTCATGGTGGACCCCATTCTTCTTACGATAATCATTTTTCAATTGAGACTTGCATATTAGCTATTTTGGGTAAGCACTATTATTTGATTTAAATTAATTATAATCCTATGGACTCCGATTTTCTTTATTTTACGTACACCAAAATATTTTAATGCACTGATTGCAATAATCGAACTAAATATTAGCGCAAATTTGATTATTGTGGTGAAAACCAGAGAAAAACCATAAAAATTAATTTTTGCTTTCATTTCTTATATAAGTTCTAAAACGGTCATATGCGCTAAAAATCAAAAGATATCCCTAGGACGTCGCAGGTATACGGATATTCCGAATATCTTTGTGTTATCAGAGGAGAAATAAGTTCGTTATCTTTGAGGCATTTTCTCAAAAAAGTCACTTCCAAAAAAAGTTCTGGGTTTGGCTTGATACTATTGTAAATTTTTGTCCTATATGAATGTAACCAAATATCAAATAATCAACTTTTTTTTTAAAAAATTATAAAAATCAGAGGAGATTGAAGTTTTGAGTTTTCAGGTAACACGGTTATTTTCAAATTCGTATAACTTCTACAAAACTTTATAAAATTTAATTTTTGATAAGGTTTTTTGTTGGGTTTTTAATGTACTTCTAATTACAAAAATAATAATGAACATTGGCGCAAATTTGATTATGATGGTGAAATCCATGAAAAACATATCATGGTATTTTGAAATAAAAAAATGTCCCAAATATAGTTGAAAAGCCTTGTAATGCAATATGACTGTAATTTTTTCAAATTAATTAATACTAAACATTTACGATACATTTGAATATACCACGAAATTAATAATTATTGAGAGTAACACTTTTTCCTGGCAGCTATGAAAAGGTCTTAATTAATTCTAACGAAATTAAAAAAATTTTAAACATGGAATACATATTTTATTTAACTGAAAATACGGACTATAAAAAAACTAAGTTACTACTCAAAATTTCGACTTAATTAATTACACCTACCGGCTCACTTAGTTATGCAGGTCGTGGAGAGAAGGAGAGATTCAAAAATTAGAGAGTTCAAACGTTGAACATACAGACACAACAAGGAGGGGGTCCTTTATGTTTTGCTTCCTCGTGGAGGAAACTATGAGAAGAAAACGTTTAAATTAATTAAATTTTTTGAAAAATTAAGAAAATTTTAATTTATTTAAAGTGTAACATATGCTTTATATATATGAATCGATTCCTTTCAATGCAAGGAATACAATTATCTTATGTATTAACTTAAATTTAAAAAAACATAAAAATTTTTAGCTAAATATGAATTTTTGATTTTTTAATTTTTATTAATTCTTAAAATTTTAATCAAATCTAAACAACTCGTTTCAATGCAGGGAATAAAATTATTTCATATATAAACATGAATTTAAAAAAACAACATTTTTTAGCTAAAATATGAATTTTTGATTTTTTTAATTTTATTAATTCTTTAAATTTTAATCAAATCTATACTTTATATATACCAATCGATTCGTCTGGACGTAAGAAGACGATTATATTATATATTACCTTAAATTTTTCTATTTAAAAATTTGTTCAATTAAAAAATTTTTTGGAAAAAAGACGATAAAATTTTTTTTGGAAGTATTTTTAAAAATCCTCTCGTCATTTTTAAGAGATTAATGTGATAACTGAGCATACCAAATTTTACCCAAATCCATTAAAACCTGTTAAAGATATCGTGTTTACAAAAATGATCCACACTTACATACATACATCCGGACAATTGATCAGGATCTCATATTGGGATCAGAAATCACGCGAAACTGACCCACCCCTGAGCCTTCTTGTGACAACCATCTTGGTTTTTTATCTCTTTCTTTTGTATATGTTAGAGAAACACGGAATGAAAACATGGCCACCACAACAAGGCTCTCACCAGATGGCGTATCGCAGTATTTAAGATCCCAATAACATGTTTCTATATAGAGGAAAATTTGTTTTCACCATTTTTAAAAATTTTATAAACGAAAGGACTACAAAGCTTTCTCCACGAGGAAGCAATATAAATTAAATAAATAAACAAAATTTAAATAAGCAACAACTATAGTTCAATTGTTATAACCGGAGCGCATCAAGTTTTTAAAATTTGCGGGATTGATAGCTCATAGAATTTTCAACCGATTTACTTCACTACAGTCTCAAATTAAAGATAATTAAAATAATCTGCGGATGAACCTCGAATATTTATGAACTTTTATTGTAAAAACAAGTTAGAGCAAAATAAGTGACAAAATTTTTCATACACTTTTTTTTCTCACCATTTTTGCAAAAATTTTTTTTTTTTGCAAATTGAGGTTCATTTGCATTCTACGATTATATTTTAGCCAAAAATTCTTGGGATTTTTTTTTCTAAAATAAATTTAGTGTTATAAAATAGTGATAATTTGTATTTATTTGATGTTTTCAATGCTTTTTAATTAATTTTTTATTTTTACTTCAAAAAAAAGATAAGTGGTGATCGAAATAATAAGAAGAGACTGGGACTTGCGTCAATGGAGTAAAATGTAGCCAAAGAGTCTATCCTTCAAAAATTTTTTGGTTTTTGTCTTTATCGGCTCAGGGACCAGAGATACAGTTCGAAAACTGAAAACATTTAATAATTTTCAAAAAATTCATTTTTTAAAAAATAGTACATTTAAAAAATTATTTATTATTAATTAACAACATATAAATTATACAACTAATTAATTAACTCTTAGCCAAATTAATAATATATTTTTCTCACAAGATAAAAAGAGAATTTTTGAAAGTAAGAAAGTTTGACTGATGACGCCTACGGTGCAAAACCGGCGGATTAACTTCATTTTCGGCGATGAATATTAAAATGTCACTACAAAACTCCCTAGCATAATAAACACTCTTATCCAAACATCGTACACTTTAAACTTTATTTATTTAATAATAAAACATTAATTTAGCAAAAGTACTGCATAAATTAATCACTAAATAGTTTATTTATTCAATTCAATAAAACTTTTTCACTAATTTCTACTATATTTTCAGTCAAAGTGAATGATCTGCAAAAGTCCTTTGAATTCACGGCACATTCCATTTCGTCGATCCTCCAGGGCGGGTTATAGATTTTTCGACGAAATTGATAATATCAATATGTCTATTTTGAATTATATAATTTACGACTGAATCAACATTTTTTAATTCTTCAAATTCTTCAAGAATTTCCAATTTACTAAATTCCCCCATTTTTTCTACCTTCTACCAATCAACTTTTAACTAAATAACAAAAAGAAGTTAAATAACTGTAAGAGGTTTCACCATAAGGCAAAACACAAAAACAAACTTCTTCTTTAAATTATAAATAATAAAATTAAAAATTAGATAATTTCCATATAATGCAAAATGTGCTTCTGTAACACTTTTATTAACTGTTTAAACAGAGAATGTACAATAAAAAAAGTTGGGGTAAATGAGGACAAAATCGCTATTTTTCACAAATTACGTAAGTTTCTTCCTTTAAAAGGTAATATTTGCGGGTTTATATTTTTTTAAGTTGTTATTTACGTTCCCAGGATTAATTTTATGCAGCAGAAGAAAATTTAGATAAGCTTTAAACGCATGAAACTGACTGTCCCCATTTACTCCAAAAATTTGAAAACTCATGGTAAATGGGGACAGCTTGCCATTATTAACCAAATTGACAAAAATCAAAAATTCGAGTGAATTTCTGTTATGAGAGTCATAACGAATAAGAAAAAAATTTGGTATGAATTTTAAGTCTGTTTTCTTTGAAATACTCGACAAAATACTGAAACAGTTTGATTTTGATTTTCAAGTTTTTATGCATTGAGCGATAACTTTTTTTATCTTGCTGCCGATTTGTAAAGATAAAAGCTTGGCAATACTCAAAACCCCTTGCAGGTGATCTGAGGTTAAAATATTGATGTTGAACTTAATTTTAAAACTGTAAATTAAGCTCCAAAACCTCTTGTACCTATTTACCCCAACTGACCCTATAACTCCACCAAATTAAAAAATGGATAAATGTAATTGAAAGCACATTCAATTAAGAAGAGATTCTACGCTTAGTGAGTTTTATATCTTGCGGAAGTAAGGAGAACTAACAAGAAATAGCAAGTGCATTTCAAAAAAATTAACATTTTTCGATGTTAAATGTGCTTTATTTTTTACAATATAGAGTAATTTTAATTTAATATTATTATTTAACAACATTGCGTGTCATTTGAAAGAAATAAAATTTAAAAGTCAGAAAAATAATCATTCATAAAAAATAAATGAATATTTAAGAGGACAGTGTCCTTCAAATTTTCTAACAAACATACAATCTCCGTAATAATCTTTGACAAATAACTATAATATTTTACAAAAAGTTTCATAAAATACTATAGACTTAGGTTATTAGATTCATAATTCTAAAGTCGACATTTGGCCGCTTTTGGATGCGTTCTGGCCCACTGTGGCTTATATAAAATCTTACATACAAGTTTTAATATAGGAAACCATGTGGGATTTCATGTGCATTCTTACATATGATTTCACATGGAATTGAACATAGGAAGGTAGGTAGGTAGGTAGGTTCTAAAATATCTACCTAAGATTTCACATGGAATTATATAAAGGAATTAATATAGGATTTCATGTGGTAATTTTCAGTTGGCTGCTTTATGCAGACGGCAGTATACAAAAATTAAAAATTAATTAATTATAAATCAAATAATATAACTGCAATTCATCTGAAAAAAAAGAAATTTGTGCTTTGCTGTACACCTTCTGAGTTAGGGTCTCTGCTTATATAGTATTTAAGACTGATCTCAACTATAAGTGTGGGGATCGCAGTATGGTATAGCAGGGTTCCTTAATGTTTCTTTCTTTTGCGTAGAGTAAAATGAGATGACAGCGCTTTTTCTCTTACACGAGTGAGAGAAAAGATATGCGCGCATTCAACCGCGACGTATGAATTGTACAGTTGGTCTGGAACCACACTTTTGAAGAAACGCATTATACATGCGTCAAATTGTAATAAATTAGTTAAATATAATAAGTTATTATTATAT